GACATTATATACGGTAGCAATTAATAACATAAAGAACCTTTATAGGTAAGATTAGAAACTTCTACTGAATGACGTAAAAGAAAATATGACAAAGTGGAGGTAAATACTGTATCTGTGGATGGTAAAACTCAGTACTATAAAGATGTCAGTCTTTTTCTCAAATTTATATACTTAATTCCAATCAAAACCCCAAAAAGATTTTTCATGAAACTTTTTCAAGGAAATATTACAGTAGATTGTGGGAGGTGGGGGGAAAGGTAGGAAGAATTGCTTTACAGATATCAAAATATTACAAAGCTGTGGACATTAAAACTGTGAGGTAGTGCGGGAACAGACAAATGGGTAAGCGGAATTGCATTCCACAGATCTATCAGAAATAGATCTGTGAATATAGAAGAGTTTGGCATATGAGAGAGATGGCACTTCACATCAGTGGAGAAAAGACAGATTAATTTGTTAATGCTATTGAGATAACTGTCTTTTCATGACAAAACAAAATAACAAAACACAAAATTACTTTCTATCTCAAATCTTTCAGAAAAATAAATTTCAGATGGTAAATATCTAAACATTTTTAAGCCATAAAAAGTATTAGTAAGGGCGCCTGGGTGGCTCAGTTGGTTAAGCGACTGCCTTCGGCTCAGGTCATGATCCTGGAGTCCCGGGATCGAGTCCCGCATCGGGCTCCCTGCTCGGCAGGGAGTCTGCTTCTCCCTCTGACCCTCTTCCCTCTCGTGCTCTCTGTCTCTCATTCTCAGTCTCTCAAATAAATAAATAAAATCTTTAAAAAAAAAAAAAGTATTAGTAAGAAAAAAAACCTAGGAACTATCATATTGGATAAGGAAGACTTTCTTACTAAGGACACAAAAATTTTTTTTTTAAGATTTTATTTATTTGAGAGAGAGTGAGCAAGAGAGAGCACATGAGCAGGGGGAGAGGAAGAGGGAGAAGCAGACTCTCCCGCTGAGCAGGGAGCCCCATGCAGGGCTCTATCCCAGGACCCCGGGATCATGACCTGAGCCAAAGGCAGATGCTTAACTGACTGAACCACGCAGGAGTCCCAGGATACAAAAATTTTTTAAATAAAAATTCAAAGAGGGAAAAGACAGATATAACTGCAAAAAAATTCTAAGACGTTTTATATCTGAAAACCCACACAAAATTAAAGATCAAGCTACACTCTGAAAAAAAAAATTTTTTTTAAAGATTTTATTTATTTATTTGACACAGAGAGAGCGAGAGAGAGAGAGAGAGAGGGAGAGAGCACAAGCAGGGGGAGCGGCAGGCAGAGGGAGAAGCAGGCTTCCTGCATGAGCAGGGAACCCGATGTGGGGCTCGATCCCAGGACCCTGGGATCATGACCTGAGCTGAAGGCAGCGGTTTAACCAACTGAGCCACCCAGGCGCCCCTGAAAAAAAAATTTTTAACAGGCACTGGATTAATATCCAGAGTATATAAAGTACCAAAGATGCAAGAGATAAGGACCCCAAAACAGTGGTCAAAGGATAGCAACAAGCAATTTAAAGAAAGAACCAGGATTGAGAGACAGTCAGTGGATCTTTAGCCTTATGTATATAATGCTTTTGCTCTTTTAAAAGGGGAATATCTTCATGAATCGCTTACAAAAGTTAAAAATTTTAATAATATTTTCTAAGAGGGGAAAATACTATTGGTTAAAAAAGAAAAGCAGATGGTAAAGTAGGAAATGATATACTGGGCAAATGTTAATAAAAGTAAGGAGGTGTGACAAAATATCAGTCAAAACAAAATTCAAAGTACAAGACATTGGTGGGGCAAAGATAGATTATTTTCTATGGAGAGAAAGTATAGTACACTAAGAATCTAAAGCAATCAAGAGCCTTTTTGCCCATATATTAGCGGTGTCAGCTCAGAAACTCTAGTGCCTATCCTAGGACTTGGACAGGGGTTTCTTCCCCCATCCCTCACTAGGAATTCAGAGACCCATTCCCATTGTCTGAGCTCATTGCAGGGAGAGGGGGAGAATGCTAACAAAAGTTAAATCACAGAGGAACCAAGCCCAATCTAAATTCCCTCAGGAAAATCCCCCTCCAACCCTGAGACACTTCTTTCCTTTCTTCTCCTTCAGAATACTCTTTGTCTCTCTCATTTTTCCACAATAGCTCTTGATGATCCAGAGCTTGACCTAGAATGCTAGTTCCCCTTTCAAAATATTCTAGTTTAGTAAAGGGGAAGAAAATAAAACCAATTTAAAAATATACAAACATTTACAGGATGGTAGCCAACTGCATCTATAGCTAAGTGCGCCTTATTAACATGCTCTCATTTCTGGTCAGACTCTCTCTCAGGGCTGCCTCCTTCCAAGGGCTTCCTTCCTCCTTCCTACCCTGGTTTCTGAATGCTGGGAGCTTATGTATTCCTTTGAGGACAGAAAGGGAAGAAGTCTCAGGACTGTATTCTGTGCTGTCCTATGGTCCTCACTCATTTTCCATGCTGTGTGGCTCTTCTGGGGATCCCTGGGCATATAGTGCTTGTGCCCAATGAGTTGCAACAGGTCCTATCTGGTTCTTTTGGCTGCTTGTCTCATACTGCTGGAGCCTATGTTCCTGCTGTAGCCTCTCATTGTGAGGTCCCTGTGGAGAGACTTGGTCTCATCCCAAATCAAACCTTGTCTGGACTTTGGGTTCTCCCAGCATTTCTGGACCCTCTTACCAAGGTATGAAAAACATTCTGGTTCCTCTCCATACACACCAAGGACACAGGGAACTGGAGTGCAGACACAAGTCCATCTGCCTAGACACCTCACAGCCATTTCAGAATTACTTCTGGAATGGTACCATAGTGCCCTAGCACCACTCTTGAACATGGAGTAGAAGTGAAGGACCAGCCTAGACATTCCAGATTTTACCTCAACTTATCTGGGGTTCCTGATGTTGTGTAGCTCTTCCCTATTCTGGGCCAAAGCCCAAGAAGGGGTTCATAGAGTCCTTCTAAGGCATCTAAGCACCAAGTTAAGCCAAATCTCAACTTCTCTAACCTTCCCCCTATCCTTGGCTCTTCCAACTGGAAGAACACTTCACTTCCTCCTTCGGTAGGTGGCAACTTCCCACCATCATACTCCAACTTCACTCTGCCTATTGATTATAGTAAAACTTTTTGTCCAGGCTACAGGCTCTCCTCTTAGTATTTAAGAGTGTTTAAAATTCAGAACTTCCTTTACTTTCCCAACAAAGCTTTTAAGACTATTATTTAGCTATAGGCTTCAAAAGCTGAACTAAAATCGTTATTTACCTTTGCATTCCTGCTCTAACAATCATGATGTTCTCTAGGCAAATGGATGCCTCTGGGTAAAAAGGGAATGGTCACATGGGGGAAAATAAGGGGAAAAATCACATTAGTATTTTTCAAAACACCTCCCTCACACCAATCTTTAGTCTTGTTAAAGATTAAGTTATTAGTTCTGAAGGTGGAGCTAAGAACAGGGTTTTCCCTCCCTCTAACTAATTGGGTCCTAACGAGAGAATGTACTTACGAACTAGAAATAAAACAAAATGAGGTTTAGTCAGTCTTCTGCAGACCCCTAGAATCAGGAAAAGCTCAAGGGAAAGGAAGGATTACAATTATTACCGTACTGAGCAGAGCATGTATGGCACAAGTAAATGGCAGAGAGGGTATCAGCAGGATCCTGTCACCCTGCTGGTCCCCAAGGAGTTCTAGGTCCACTCATCCAGTCAAGAGAGGGAAGGCAATTTGGTCAGTGGGTTCCAGCAGGGGTCAGCAATGGATTGGACTGGAGTGCATCTAGCAGCCCCAAAGGCGGTGCTAGAAGCTTTCCTTCTGGGGCTATGTGTACTCATGGATTTTACCTAAAAGAATCAGGCTTTCATGGACCAGGACTACATTTCAACAAATATTTATTGAGCATTTACAATGTGTCAGGCACTGTTATAGGCACTTAGGATATATACGAGGAAAAAAAAAAAGATCCCTGCCCGTATGATTTTATATTCTAGCAGAAGGGATATAGAAAATAAAGAACAAGTGAATTATATAGTATGTTAGGTAAAAATTCCATAAGGATATGGAATTAATAAAAAATAGAGCAGGCTAAGTGGGATCAGGAGTGCTGGGTGGAGTAGGGATTGGTTTGAGGTAATAAATAGGGTGATCTGGGTAAGCTTCATTGTGCAGATCAGACAGGAACAGGGACTTGAAGCAGGTGAGAAAGTTAGCCGGGGGGGAAAATGTCCAGGCAGAGGGAAGAGTGAAAGAAACTACCATAGGGAATGAGATAATTTAAAAAACGAAACAAAAACCCCAAAACCAGAAAGGAGAGCAACATTGTAGGAGCAGGTTATGATTAGAAGGAAGAGGGGATGCCAGATCATATGGACCTTCTAGGCCACCTATGATGAAGGCTTTTTCTCTGGGTGAAACAGAGAGTCACTGAAGATTTTGAGCAGAGCATGACATGATCTACTTTGGGTTTAAAGGGATCGTTCTGACTGCTGTTTGAAGGATTTAAACAAGGAGATATGTTGGGAGACAATGTAATTAATCTAGGTAAGAGATGATGGTGGCTTAGAGAAGGCGGTGAGAAGCGGTCAGATTCTGACATTTTTAAAAGGAAAAGCCAATAGACTTTATAAAGGATTTGCTATGGGGAGTGAGAGAAGGAGAAGAATCAGAGTGACTCAAAGTCCTTTGACCTGAGTGCTGGGAGGATGGAGTTGCCATCACCTGAGATGAGGAAGGCGAGAAGTGCAGGCAGGTTCATAGGAGAAGAACAGGTGTTCACTTTTGGACGTGTTGAGCTTGGGCATGTTAAATGTCCCAGTGGGAAATTTGAATAGACAATGAAGTCAGTCTGGAGTTGGAGAGAAAGGTCTAGGCTAGAGATAAACATTTGGGAATTGACAACATATTTAAAACTCTAAGTCCACGTCAGCTCCTCAAGAGAGTGTGTGTAGCGGGAGAAGAAAAGGGCTAAGACTGCTCCCTGGGGCCCTCCACCATGAACAATGGAGAGAGCTGAAGAGGAAGCAACAGAGGAGACTGAGGTGAGACCAGAGAAGTAGGAGAAAGCCAAGAGCGTGATGTCCCAGAAGCCTGGTAAAGAAAGTATCCAAAAAGGGAGTGGTCCACTTGGTCAGGTGCTCATGTTATCTTCAAGTAGGATGACACGTGGGGAGCTGGCCGTTCACTTTAGCCACTGGATGGTCATTAGTGACCTTCATAAGAGCACTCTGGTGATGGAATGGTAGGAGTAAATGCCAGATCACAATGATTTTTAGGAAAAGCCCGAGGAAAGAACCTGAGGACCATGATTATAGGGCACTATTTTGAGGCATTTTTCTGCAAATGGGAGCAGAGAAATGGAATGGAAATTATTAGGGAAAAATGGGGGTCAAGGAAAGTGATTGCTTTTTAAAAAAAAATGAGGAAAGGGGCTCCTGGGTGACTCAGACCCTCATTGAGGGTCTGCCTTCGGCTCAGGTCAGGATCCCAGGGTTCTGGCAGGGAGTCTGCTTCTCTCTCTCCCTCTGCTCTTCCCCCCACCCCCCGCCAACTTGTGCTCTCTCTCTCTCTCTCTCAAATAAATGAATAAAATCTTTTTTAAAAATGAGGAAAAATAGCCTGTTTATATGCTAATGAAGATATCCAAGAGGGAGTTAAAAGTTGTTAATGCAAGACAGAGATGGGGAGCATTGAAGGAGTGATATTCTTTTTTTTTTTTTTAAGACTTTACTGGAGAGAGAGAGCAAGCACACATAAGCTGGGGAAGAGGCAGAGGCAGAGGGAGAAGCAGACTCACACTGAGCAGGGAGCCCGATGCGGAGCTCCATCCCAGGACCCTGGGATCATGACCTGAGCTGAAGACAGATGCTTAAATGACTGAGCCACCCAGGCGCCCTGAAGGAGTGATATTCTTGAGAAGGCAAGGGCATTGGGATCTAGTGCACAGGTGGAGGGATTAATTTTAGCTAGGAGCATAGATATTTCATCTTTGAAGCAGTTGGAGATTCAGATCTCTTCCCCATTAAGGCCTGTTCGACATTATAATGGCCCCTTAGTTACTCAATTACTACTACAAAGTCTACAGTGGGGCATTTGCTTCCCTGATGAATTTCCAGGTTGGACAGTAAAAGGAAAAGGTCCATCAAGAGCTTTGAGGTATGAATTCTGAGTTTCAAATCCTATATACCTTTGTCCTTAGATTGTTAGTATTTCATAATGCCTCTTCCCAGTGCCATTTTTAAGGATGAGTGAGGCATTTTGATCTTCCTTATAACTGGAGTGACTGAGACAGACAGAGTCTTCTAGTCCTTTTTGGTGACATGTTGGCCATTAGCTACAGTAATGTCCTTATAACAGCCAATCTTGCCTTGTTGCCCAGGAGGTCCTGAATATATATTCAATCCTAGTTAGAGGACCACTGTGATTGTGTTCAGGTAGTTTTTGTTTTGGAGTCCTAGAAAATAGACCTACCTTCCCATCTTCCCAAGTATTTGTATAGCTAATGCCAAACACTCTTTTCAGGCTAATGTATAGCTAATGCCAAACTCACTGTGTGTGTTTTAGGTCTAGCATTAAAAGGTCTCAGCATTCATTCTTTGTACTTTGGTGGAGACATAAGGCACTTTATTGACTAGGGAGTGGTAGGTCAACCATTCTGTGATTGCCCAGAATACCAACTTTAGTTCAACAAAACCTGAAAGCTTTTCTCCAGGGTGGTAATTAGATGCTCTCGGTGGCAACATGCACATCCAGAGGTTCAGAGACCACTTTTTTTATTTTTTAAGACTCCATGTTCTGCCAGAGCTATAAGAGGCACAACACCTAACAGGGAGGCCTCAAGGCACAGAGGCCAGTCAAGGAGCCCCAAGATAGAAGATTGATGGGTCACTAAGTAGATAAGCTATCCTAAGATACTGGTAACTCGACAAGTTTACAAGGCACTGAGTCTTCTTTGAAAAAGCCACATTCAGGGGAAAATCCATGTGACAACAGGCATTTCATGCTCAGAAGTGAGGAAAGGTACTGGGATTTTGGAGCTTGGATATCCACAAATACCCCTGAATGGGCTCTAGATAAGGGCATCATTGATACAATCCTGCAAGAAAGTTCTGAGGGAGAAGGGAACACCAGGAGAAAGTTCTTGCCATTCCACAAAGTGGTAGAAGTCAGTAGAATTCAAGCAACTATAGTTAAGTATGCTGAGAGTATGCTGCTGAGCATCACAAGTAAGGCGGATGCTGCTGGTTGGAGTACACAGAGATCTAAAGGAAAACATTGACCATATTAATGGCACCAAATAATTGCACACAACAATCTCTATGAGTCACCTGTGGCCAATCTTTTTAAGAGGCCATATGGGAGAACTAAGAGATAACAGGTAGGAAAATGACCTCTACTGAAGGCTCTCGGGCATAGTTGATGTATTTTCCTTTAAAGCCACAAGGCACCAGACATTGCCAGGTCATTTAAGGTCCCAGCAAGAAACATGGCACACTCAAATTGGGTCAATAGACGAGAGTTTAATAAAGGTACTATCTTCAAAGGTGTGCACAGAGGTTAAGTAAGGGATAGTTCAGTATTCCGAGGCTAGTCACTTGGGGTGCCATTACCATTTCTAGACTAAAGGAGCAAGGAGAGGGGCTTACCAGAACCTGAAAAGAGAGAGAGCTGTGTGGAGAGGTCACCAGACAGGTGTAATGTTCTTCAGTTAAGGGATGAAGCCAGCTTGTAAAAAGCTGCTGGCTGGGAATCAAGAAAAAATTACCCAGATCTCACTCTCCTCCCTCCCACAGATCTTTTCTTACTTGCTCCCTATTGGTCAAACCCAACTAGAAGCCAGAGGACAAGAGAGTATTTTGACTGGGTCAGACTTCTGAGGATGAAAAGTGGAGAAAGGTAGAGTGTAGATATGGAGGGATATCGAAAGCTATCTCAGAAAATGTCAGTAACTTTGGAGGGCCAGAGGAATACCAGTGATTTTTTTTTTTTTTTTTACTTCTTTCGGTGACAGAACAAAATATCTATTCACTGAAAACAGGAGATCTTGACAACACATTATGGAACACTATGTCTCACTGACATACCCCAAGAAGAGCAGTACTATCATGTGGTTAGCATGGCCATTATTGGATCAACTTTGAAAAACATTACCTTTTACCAATTTATAATTTTAGTGCCCTTTTATCCTTATTGCAGAGCAAGAGCAATACATTTCCACTGTAGACCATTTAGAAACATAGACAGACTGAAAAAAGAAAGTAAAACTGTCTTGTAATCCCACATTCTTGTGACAATCACTGCTAATATAATGGAATATATATTGTAAGTTTCTTGATCATACCTTACATAGGTATTTGTATATATATGTATTTTTTTAAGGATTTCTATTTATTTATTGAGAGAGAGAGAGAATGGTAGAGAGCATGAGAGAGAGGAAGGTCAGAGGGAGAAGCAGACTCCCTGCTGAGCAGGGAGCCCGACGCGGGACTCGATCCCGGGACTCCAGGATCATGACCTGAGCCGAAGGCAGTCGCTTAACCAACTGAGCCACAGACAGGTTGCAATAATACTTCGCAACATTGCCATCTAATTTTCACAATGATCATCCAAATGTTAACCTTTTACCATTACCACATTTGCTTTATTCATCTCTTTCTCTTTTTCAACTCTATCTCTCTCTGTATATACATACACACACATACATACACAATTATAATTTATACACACATATGCATATCTTTTTTCCTTGAATCATTTGATGATAATCAATTTTAAAATTTTAGCAGAGGCAAGTTATGCCAATAACCTTGAAACCATCAATATCAAAAACTAGTGTAATGGGGAATCCTCAAAATTAAGAATAAGAGAATTATAATGATAACAGAACCCTTCTCAAAGAATTTTCATCAGATCAGAACAGACTTATCTAGAAATTAAACACCCTCAGACATTTGTAAATACCCTATGTTCTCTTTGTAGTTCTGAGACAGGCTGTGAAGGGTCCTGGGTGACAGAAGCCCAGCCATGCTCCTATTTATGGGGAGGAGACTCTTTAGAGTGGGCTAGCCTGAATGGTATCAGGTGGCCATTAGACGGCTCAAAGAGAGACCTCAGAAAGTCACCTGTGAGGGGATGTCTGGAGGCATTGAGCCAGATCATGGGCAGCCAGGCAAGTGATGTTCCATTCCAAAGATATTGTTGCTTGGCATCCCATCTTATTTAGAGCATGGTACATCATTGTGGGGAAGTCAATTCCAGGTGTCCAACTGTAAATGCTTGGTATAGGAGTTAGAGAAATTAGTCATCCCTGCTAGGACATAAACAACCTCCCTCACAGTGGAATCACTAGGGAAAGAAGAGAAATTAAGGCCTTCTGTTACCTGTCAGGTGCTGGTTTAAGTAGAATAATGTATTGGGACTGGGTTAAATCTTTTTTTTTTTTTTCCGGCAGAGCACATCACCTTGAGAATTGGCATAAAATAGAGCCAGATGCTAAAATGCCTTCCTAAATTGTTTTTCAGGGTTGAGCCTATTCCCCTGAGGTGTACAGTTGAGGATATCAGATTGTCTGCGATTCTAAAAGCCAAACGGCAAGAGGCTTAGCAACAGGGTCAAAGCCCTGCAGATTGGCATTGAACTGGATGTCAGTGGAATAGGAGCCTAGAGGGTCCAACTTGGGCTTACCAAGGAGCAGCACATGTCTATCTGATCCCATACTTGGCCCTGTTGTAAAGGAGAAATTGCATTATTTTCCTTATAAACTGACACAGGTTTCAATTAATTTAGGAGACTGTCTCTTGGCCAAAAAGAGAAAGACCCATTTTAACATAGTAATTCCTCACAGAGTGATTTTCTTGGGGGTACCCAGCCATGTCCTGTAAGGGAGCTGGCAGTTGGATCTCTAGGTGAATGTCCTCTCAGCCAAGGAATGCCAAGGGACCTGCCCTGTGCTCTGAGATCAGAAGGAAAAAAATGGAGGGGAGATGGTATGGGAGGGCTAACAAGGAAGAGAGGAAGCCAGGACTGCTCCCTCACCAAGTTC